TGCAGATAGAGAGAGGAGAATGCCGTAATTGTTAGACGACTTAAATACCTGTTAACACCCAGAATAAATGCTTCAAAATGTTATTTTTTTCTGGGCCATTTTCTAGGATATTTTGTATAATTTATTATGTGTTGTTTAGATGGGTAAAGTAGAGCTTGCATCAGATGCTACATAGTGACATCCATGTTCAAAGATATTGTTCTGTAGCAAAGGGAGCAGATTTAGGGAACTTTCTTGGGACGTGATTCGATCTTTCTGTAGTTAGCGGAATAACCTGCGTTCTCTGCAGAGCCTCTCTGGTGTGAACCATTGCGTGATGTCCTAGTAGCAACATCTTGACTTATAACTTGATATCAATTTGATTGTTTTGTTTCGGTGTGGTCGCGATTTATTTGAAAGAATCACACCTAAGAATTGCTGTTTGACCCGAGATCAATTTATAGGCCTAATCAATGAGATAACCGCGTGGATCAAACAGTGAGTTACTTATTGTCTGGTAATTTTGAAAGCAATGCAGACGACATGGAGTTGCTCTTGACACTTACCGTCAAACGATTTTTGTTTGTATTTATTTATTTTACTTTATTCATCATATTCAGACGCCGTATCCAAGTGCGTTTTCAAGTTGTTTTTCTTCATTTTAGTTTTGGCAGGCAACTTTCTTATTATTTTTCATAACCAATCGCATAACTTACCTTATATGGCCTGTTTAAATATAAAAATAACGCGGCAGGGACACCCTCCATCCTCCATTTCAAACAGCGTTTTCAATTTTTTTTTACCCCAATTTTAGTTTTCGTACCTTGGCCCCCTTTTATATAACGTATTAGTCTCTTGCTAGGAGGCCGCATTCCCGATATTCAATCATAAACAATTCTCATAACTTACCTTATAAGGCGTGTCTGAATATAAAAATAACCCGGCAAGGACACCCTCCATTCTGTTTTTCAGACATGACCGCTCTTAGGTTATTCACCTTAATCTGTGGTATCTGGGAATGTCACGGAGGTGCGTTTGTATGATAAAAATTTCATCATGCAATGAGGTGTAATGACGTAATTGGCATGCATTATCTTCAAATTCAATGAGAAAATAACATGAAACCACCATGAAATACTTTAGGTTTACAACCTAGTCTTTCTAAGCAAATGTGAACATAATGTGTATAATTTATGTGAAAACGTCAGTGGAACAAAAGAGAAACCTTGCTTCTATTTGTTTGTTATTTCTCATCCATCTCAATTAAAAAAATCTGATGAAAATGTAGGAACAATTTTGGCCGTGCCTCAGCCAATTTGTGTGCGCGCTCACACAGAAACACACGTGCGAATATGCCATCTTGCTCACACTCATACCCGTTACGTGCCAGAAGGCTATTATGCACAGGTGCTTGCATGCATATGGACCCGTTGAGATAGGTCACATCCACATGTACCTATTCAGCTATACACGCCCGCGCGCGCGCCCGCACGTGCGCATTTGCCAACCCGCCCCCCCCCC